ATCTCGAGATCTTGATTTCGAGATTCAAATCTCGAGATCAAGATGTCGAGATGAAGATCTCGAGATCTTGATTTCGAGATTCAAATCTCGAGATCAAGATGTCGAGATGCAGATCTCGAGATCTTGATTTCGAGATTCAAATCTCGAGATCAAGATGTCGAGCTGCCCATCTCGAGATCTTGATTTCGAGAAGATGAACCGACGATTTCGAAGAGATTAACCACCTGCAAAAACAAAGATATAATATACGAAATTGATGACAAGCGAGATTACGACATACATTCAAACAAAATAAACTTGATTTTGAGAAATTTCAAGGTTTTGCGAAATCAAACGTTCGTTTCTGGATGACGAACACGAACATGTTTTCAAGTTTTCGAGATGGATTGTTTGTTGAGAGCGTTTTTGAAACTCGAAATCAAATGATAAACTACCTTGAAGGTTTTCGGGAAAGAGAATTGAAGAAGAAGAGAGTATGCGGAAGATTTTGGAAGAGCTCTGCTTTGCGAAATTAGCCTTTGCGAAAGGTTTTAGAAATAGGAAGTGAAGGGTTTTTCGAGGCTTATATACGCGATTAAAAAATTTGGACCTCCTCCGTAATAGTTGAGCCCGAATGATTGGGCTGGCACACAGTGCCCTTTTAAAAATTTTCGAGGCCCAAAACCAGTAAAAATAGAGAACTCCCCCTTAAACAGTGAAAATTAGCTCCCCCTCAAACAGTGAAAATTTTCTCCCCCTCAAAAAATGCAACGAACAATATGTACAAATGCAACGCACACACACTATTTTTGTTCTTTTTGATTTTTCACCCACTCATCACATGCAACGCACACACACTATTTTTTTTTGTTATTTTTCTGGTTTTCTCCCCCTCAACACATGCAACGCACACACACTATTTACATATCACACTCACACACACTTTTTACAAGTCCCACACACACACTTTTCAGACCAGTGGAGACAAAAATTAAACAGGCTCGAGGTTCAACATGCCCAACCTGGAGACTAGGAACTGGAATCTTTTTTCATCCAATGCCTTAGTGAACAAGTCAGGCAGTTGAAGCTCTGAGCTTACAAAGTAGATATCTATGTCTCCTTTCTCCACGTGATCCTTGATAAAATGATAGCGCAGATCAATGTGTTTGGTGCGGGAGTGGTGAACCGGATTGCTTGTGATGACGATGGCGCTTTGAGAGTCACTGTAGATCGGGATGTGGCGGAATGTGTAGCCGTAGTCCTGTAGCTGAGTCTTCATCCATAATATTTGTGAACAACAACTAGCAGCCGCGACGTATTCGACCTCAGCTGTAGATGTTGACACACAGTTTTGCTTTTTGGAAGACCAGCAGACTAGCTTCTCGCCCGAGAATTGGACGGCTCCCGATGTACTTTTGCGGTCCATCCGGCAACCAGCAAAGTCAGCATCCGAGTATCCGACTAGATCGAAGCCTGAATGCTTGGGATACCAAAGGCCTAGATTCACCGTGCCTTTGAGGTATCTTAAAATTCGTCGTACAGCTGTCAGATGGGATTCCTTCGGATTTGCTTGAAAGCGAGCACATAAGCATGTGGAGAAGACAATGTCAGGCCTGCTTGACGTGAGATATAGCAAAGATCCAATGATGGCCCTGTAATTTGTAGCATCAACTGGCTTCCCGGAGGGGTCTGAATCCAGTTTGTTGTTTGGGGACATGGGGGTCGTCATGGAGGATTTGCCTTCTATGTTGAATCTCTTTAGCATATCCAGAATGTATTTGGACTGATTGATGAAAATGCCATCAGAGAGTTGTCTTACTTGCAGGCCTAAGAAGAATTTAAGTTCGCCCATCATGCTCATCTCGAACTTGGTTTTCATGAGTTTCTCAAAGTGTTGGCACATGCGCGGATTTGAAGAGGCAAAGATGATGTCATCAACATAGATCTGAATCAGAATGATGTCAGACTTTTGTCGCTTGATAAACAGAGTAGTATCAATCTTTCCTTTTGAGAAACCTGAATCGATCAAAAATTCAGTCAAGGCATCGTACCAAGCTCTGGGTGCCTGTTTCAACCCATAGAGAGCTTTCTTGAGCTTGTATACATGGTCTGGGAATTTTGGATCTACAAATACTTCGGGTTGAGCGACATAGACTTCTTCTTCTAAAGTCCCATTTAGAAAAGCTGTTTTGACGTCCATCTGAAAGACAGTGAAGTTTTTGTGCGCCGCGTATGCAAGAAAGAGGCGGATTGCTTCAATTCTAGCTACGGGTGCAAACGTCTCATCGTAGTCTATGCCTTCCTGTTAATTATATCCCTTTGCGACCAGCCTTGCCTTGTTCCTTACGACTGTGCCTTCTTCATCCCTTTTATTTTTGAATACCCACTTCGTGCCAATGATTGTCTTTCTCTGAGGCCTGGGTACCAGTGACCATACATCCAGTCTGTCAAACTGATTGAGTTCATCTTGCATCGCAATCACCCAATCTGGATCAAGTAGCGCATCGGAGACTTTTGATGGTTCTGACTGGCTTAGGAAGCATGCGAAGTGACATTCATTCATCGTTGCGGATCTTGTTCGCACACCTTGACTTGGATCACCTATTATTTGTTCAATGGGATGTGCTCTCGTCCACTTCCTCTCATGAGCTAGAGGAGTTGGAGTAATTATTGGTTGATCGGAGTCCTAATGTGTGGTTGAAGGCTCTGGATCAGCTGTGGTGTGTAATGGAGATGATTCCGGACTTGTAGCAAAGCCGTGATCATCCACACCTCTGGGATTGGTTTGAGGGGTTGAGGGTATGGATGGTACATCGTCTGGTCCTGTGAGGAGCGGAATCTCTGCTGTTGGAGTTGATGTTGACTCTGGAGTGCAGGCAGGAGGTGGAGGTTGTGAGTTCTCGTAGAAGTTTCTGAAGAGAGAGTCGAGAATCACATCGTCGTGTTCGGTGTTTGATTCAGCTTTATCAGAAGCTACTGGTACAGCAGTTGATGGATCAGTCTGGAGATGTTCGATCGCAAAGTCTGCCATTTCATAGAATGTAACATTTACACTCTCGATGACAGTGCGCTTGTCTCTGAGATAGACTCTGTAAGCTTTGGATTGCAGTGAGTAGCCAATAAACACGCCTTCTCTGGCTTTGGGATCCAGCTTACTTCTCTCTGTCTGATCATTGAGTATGAAGCACTTGCAGCCAAAAACCTTGAAGAAAGAGATGTCGGGAGTTTTGTTGAATAGGATTTCATATGGAGTCTTGTCAAAGCGTTTATGGATGGATGTTCTGTTCTGAGTGAAGCACGCAGTATTGATTGCCTCTGCCCACATGAAGTGAGGCAGTCTGGATTGGATTAACATGGTGCGTGCTGCTTCAACAAGGGTTCTGTTCTTTCTCTCAACAACTCCGTTATGTTGGGGAGTTTTAGCTGCTGCAAATTGCTGAGTGATACTGAGTGATTCATAGAACTCAGTTAGAGTTTGATTTTTTCACTCGGTTCCATTGTCAGTTCTAACGATTCGAACATTGTGCTGTAGCAGTTTCTGGATGGTTCTGATAAAGGTCATAATGTTTTCTGCAGCCTCGTCTTTTGAATAGAGAAATTTTGTCCATGTGTATCTAGAGAAATCATCAACGATTACCAGAGTGTATTTGCGACCGTTGATGCTTTGGACTCTCATAGGTCCACACAGATCCATGTGAATTAGCTGCAACTGATGTGTAGATGATGGTTTGGTTTTTGACTTGTGGGAGCTTCGCGTCATTTTGCCCATTTTGCAGGCACTACAATGATTTTCAGTGGAAGACTTTAACAGAGGAAGCCCCTTAACAAGTTTCTTGGAGGACAAGGTTGATAGATGTTTGAAGTTCAGATGGGAGAGACGTCTGTGCCATAGGTTGTTCTGTTCAGTTGAAGCTTTGGACAGCAGACAGATGGAAGTGGTGGATTGGACGCTTTTCAGATCAATAGTGTACAAATTTGATGTTCTGTAACACGTTAATAATGTATCCCCTGTGCTGTCAAGAACACAGCATTGTTTTGCAAAGAACCTCACTTCCATCCCGCTGTCACAGAATTGTCCAATGCTCAGTAAGTTGTGTTTGAGCCCTTTGACAAATGAAACGTCTTTTATAGTGACACTGGCACAGACGACGTCCCCATACCCAAGAATAGGAGATGAGGCGTCATTCCCGAATCTGACATTGCCTCCGAAGCAGTTGGTGTAGTTGCTCAAAAGGTGCTTTATTCCGGTCATGTGGGTTGAGCATCCTGAGTCTAAGTGCCACACATGACCGTCCTGCAAAACAATCAAACAGGTTTAGGTACCCAACTTGGAGTGGGTCCTTCCTTATTATCAAAAAACACCTTTTTAAATCTTGCTTTGAGCTGTGATCCAAGATCAGCAGCTCTTTCAACAAAAGATCTATCTTTTGTGGGCTTTCCAATAGCCAGATCTGCTTTTGCAGTGTGTCTGGTTTTTGGAGTCCACTTCGCAGTTTCCATTTTGGTGGGTCTGTTGTTGTGAACCCACCTTTCCATTTTAGTTCTGGTGGGTCTGAATTTGGGGACCCACCTTTCAGTTTCAGTTTTGATGGGTCTTCGATTGGGGACCCATTTTTCAGTTTCAGTTTGGATGGGTCTTCGTTTGAGGACCCACCTTTCAGTTTCAGGTTAGGTAGGTCTCATCTTGGGGACCCACCTTTCAGTTTCAGGTTTGGTGGGTCTTATCTTGGGGACCCACCTTTCCGTTTTAGGTTTAGGAGGAGAGTAGACAGGTGCTTTGTGATTGAACGGTTGTTTCTTAAGTTTGGTTTTGAAAATCTCCTCTTTAGAAAGCCGATTAAGATGTTTCCTTGAATGAACTCTAAGAGCATATTTCATATCAGGAATACAAAACGTTCCCTTAGAAGTTCCTTTATTGGTTTCTCTTTCAGGTTTGAGCTTTCTGAGAGGCTTTGTTTTAACAACATTCACATCACATTCATAATTATGGGGATCTGGAACAGAATAACCATAAGCAACACTTGTATTATAAATAGAACGTTGTCTAGAAGATGTCTCAGAAATATTCAGCTTGGGACTCAAGACTGAACTACTAGAAGTTTGTTTTGTAGAGACAGAATTACAATTAACTTTAGAGTAAAAAATAGAACTAGATCTAGGACTGGCATTATTCTCAAAAACTTTCTTTTTGCCATCTGCGATTTCCTTCCTCTTTTTCCTCCACTCATTCTTCTCTTCTCCTTCCTTCTTCACTTCATTCCCTATAAACAAAGGAGAAGAGAGATGAGTGGACGAACCTTTTAAAGCATTGTTTTTCTCATGTGAGGTGTGTGTGCTGTCAGGCTTAGTCGTAGAAGGGTCTGTTTTAGCATGAAACTGCTCACTCAAATCATTGAACTTTTGAAGAAGTTCCTGCCAGTTGTGTTCAAAACCTTTCTTTTCAGTTTCAAATCTCTCTCTCTCATTATCAAGTGTTTCCTGTAGGTTTTTGAGCTTTTGAGCCATGGGAAATATACAAGGTTCCTCACCAGTTTTAGCAATACCTACTCTTGGGGGAGGGTCTAGAGGATGTCCTATATGAGGAATATCTTTGGCATAAGGGTCAAGGCATTCACTAAAGCAGGAAGTAGGTTTTTCTTGTGAAATTTGTTTCTCATTAACAGAGGAATAGTCACAAGAAATCGCAGACTTTGGATTCTTTCTCTTTTCCTCTTCTGCTTCAGCGTTTTCTTCATCACTTCGAAAATGCATTTTCTCGACTAACCCTAATCCCATGTAATCTTTGTTATAGAATTGAATACAGTTAACTTTCTTTAGATTACGTGGGTTGGTCATGCCCAGTCCTGTTTTAGCATTGTAAAATCTGTCATCCTTTTGTTTGTTGTTAAGCAGAAAAACAGTTTGTTCTGATTGACCTCTCTTAGCAGCTAGATCCTCTAGTTCTTTTACCTTATTTAAAAGTGTTCTTCTCTTGTTATGCAAAAAATCGCATTCAGCCTTTGCTGTGCTTTTTTCTCGTTCACTATCCTCAAATTTCCTAGTTAATTCAGCTATCTTAAGTTCAATGCTTTCAAAATCTGAGGACACCTTTTTGACCTGATCTTTTGCAATTTCAAGTTGAACACTTAAGGAAGACTTTTGGTCTAGATTCTGTTTCAGTACCCTGTAATTATTGTCTAGTCTCTCCTTTAGTTCTTTGATTATATTGTCCTTCTCAAGTAAGGACTGCATTTGGTTATTTAAAGGAGTATGTGAGGTACTTACAGAGCTTGTTGAGCATTCGCTTTCGGGGATCGCAGCATCACCCTTTCTTTCATCTTCCTCCACTCGTGCCATAAGGGCATAATTGTCTTCCTCCTCCTCCTCCTCAGAAGAATCTTCTGCCCAGTTCTCATTCTCAGCAATCATAGCAGAAGTTTCTTCTTCTTTCTGCACCATCAGCATTTTCTGCTTATTCCACAGCATCTTCTGCTTGTAGAAATTAGCATCTTTCTTCTTTGGGAGGCGACAGTCTTTGATGACATGTCCAGCCTTACCACAGTTGTAGCATTTGGGGGCGTCTTCAGCTGATGGCGCCTTTCTGGAAGATCCTTGATCATGGTTCTTCTGCTTGTAGTTTGAGGAGGAAGTTCTCAGCTTGTTGGAGGAGCTGTTCTTCTTAGCAAATCTTTTGGCAAGCAGTGCCATCTTCTTCTGTAAGTCTGCTAGCTCAGCCTCTAGATCAGATTTGTCATCATCACTATCATCATCATCTGATTCAACCACCACCTTCTTCTTTTTCTTCTTTAGTGAAGTGGTTGTCCTTCTTGGCTGAGCCTCCATTACAAGAGCTAAGGGGTTTGTGGTGTGATGATCCTCAGCACAGGCAACCTCGTTGACAAATTGCTTCAGATGTTCGTAGAGTGTGCAGAGGTCAATTTCGTCCAAATCTATCCGAGATCTGACATCCTTCACTGTCTTTTCCCATGCAGGATGCAGGCTGGATAAAAATCTAATATTCAGTTCCAGATTGGACCTGAATACTTTGATTTTTCTGAGTTCATTTACCAGTTGAACGAGTCTGTTGTAAGTCTCATTCAATGGTTCTCCTGGACCTGCTTTGAAGGAGTCATAAGCAATAAGAATCGTAGTCTTCTTAGTTTTAAGGCTGATGCTTGTGCCTTGGAGCAGCTTCTCTATCTCATCCCACATTTCCTTAGCTGTTTGCATGTTGTCAATGAGAACGTATACTTCTTTGGGGATTGCTTGAAGAAGGTATGTTTTGGCCATGAGATCACCACGAAGCCTGAGCCTGTCAACTTCTGTGTATTCAGATGACACTTTCCTCCTTATTTCTGGAAAAATAGGAGGATTATTTTCTGGATCACCACCAACTGAAATCAAGAGTTCAGCTGGTCCTTCAAGCAAAGATTCAAGCATCGCAGCGGAGTCCTCTTTGTGCTCAAGGAAATTAAGGAATCTGTTCCTCCACATTTGGTATTCTCCCTTCCTAAGACTAGGAGGGGTACTGTTGTTCCCTTGCGCATTGAATTCTGAGGCCATTGCTGTACTAAACTGACCGTTCGAGAAAATTGATCAAAAGATTTTCAGAGGCTGAAAGTCGAAAAATCAGATGTCGAGATCTGAATATCGAAATTTCAGATTTCGATAAAGGAGGCCCGATATCGAGATTTTGAGCTCGAGATTAAAGATCTCGAGATTAAGGATCTCGAGATTTCAAATTTCGAGAAGCTGATCTCGAGATTTGAAATGTCGAGAGATTAAAACTCGAAATCTAATTTCGAGATGTAAAATGTCGAGACCAGATGTCGAGACCCTGTTTTCGAAATCTTGATCTCGAAATTCTAGATGTCGAAATCCTCAATGTCGAAATCCTGCAAACTGTAAAAATCAGATAAGCAAAATCTGAAGGTAGTTTCCTGTAGTGTAGAATGTCGAGATCCTCGGGTAAAGTTTTCAGCTCGAAAAACGTAGCAGAACCTGTGAAAAAGCAAGATGTCGACAACCCCTACTCGAGATATCTCGAAAACAGAATATGCGTAAAACAAAATCTGAAGTATACCCCTTGATCGCTTTGCAAAGACGATTCTAAGGGTGTAACTTTTACAACTTTTGAACAAGAAACAAGATTACAGAGTGAAATATCGACAGTAAGAACAACGTAAAGAAAAACAGAGTATTCTGCAGGCGTTCTTCTGATCGGTTCTCGATCGGCTCTGATACCAATTGTTAGTCCCTGTTTCTGTAACAGCAATGAATAACGATCTAACAACGAAGATTAAACGTAAGATGAACACAGAATGAATCAACGTAAAACCCTCTTTGATAGACCGTGAACTCGTACAACACAAGAATATGCGTGTAAGGCTATGAAGAATAAGTACGACGTTAACCTAATCCTAAACCCTCGACTCCCTTTTTATAGGCGAGGTTTAGGTTAGGCGTACAAGGCTTTTAGCCTGTTTATATGGGCCTAACACTTGGCCCGATTGCTATCTAATTTATGCACTAATTAAATACAAGGATTAAATATAAAGCTAACCTATGACAAACTTGATTCACAATTAAATATCTCCAACATGGTGTCTTTTGTACTAATCCGTCAATTGACATTGAAACGAGTCTAATGACTCATTCCTTATTTCTTTCAGAAATGGAGGGTGGACGCAGGATTACTAGGAGGAACCCGACGGGTCGTGCACCGGGGGCCACCGGGCACGATACACGGGCTGAATCACGGACCTCTAGGGGTAGAGGCCGGAGCCAAGGCTGAGGAGGAGGCCGAGGCAGGGGTCGTGGGCGTTCTACAACGCCGACGGAAAGTAGCACGCGTGTCGGTTCTGTGCACCCGTCTTGGGCCACCAAACCGGACGATTTCACATATGCTCCAAGCACGGAGCAAGAGGAGACCCCGTACAACAGGGAGGACTTTGATGAAGAAGATGAGGATGACGATCCTCATTATGATCGTATGAGCGATGTACTAGAATGGTACCTCGAGAACAAGGCAAGGAGAGAACAGTGGTGCCAAGCTAGACAGGCTAGGCAGGCCATGGGACAGGGAAGCCGGGGAGCTTCTAGTGCTCCATCTGGAGCATTTGGAGTAGATACGATGGTACGTATCTCCAAGTACCTCAAGGAGGCTAGGGCCTTGGGGTGCAAATTGTTTGATGGCAAGGGCGACATCTCTGAGGCCGCTGATTGGATTAAGAAGCTGAATGATGCTTCTAGGGATATGCAAATTGGGCTCGACGTGAAGTTGAGGGTTGCCACCAGGCTGCTGGATGGGGTAGCTGCTGTATGGGGGGAAGGCGTGGAAGGAAAGTTCCACGGTGAGGCCACTTGGGAGAAATTCGAAGTGGAGTTCTATAACCAGTACTACTCAACTTTTGAGGTCAATCTCAAGAGGAGAGAGTACACAAATCTGAAACAGGAGGATGGCTGCTCGGTGAGGCAATTGGAATAGAGGTTCCGAGACTTGGCACGATTCATACCCGAGTACTGTTTGGATGAGAATCGAATGGCCAATCATTTTTGGGATGCTCTACAGTTGGACATCCGTGACCGGGCTACTTATCAACATAACATGACATTCAGTCAAGTTGTCGATCAAGGGCTCCTTGGGGAAACCCAATGGAATGAAAGGAAGGCGAGAGACGCCGAGGAGGCGAAGAAGAGGAGATGGGGAAACTCTGGACCCCAAGACCACTCTCGGAAGCATCACGCCGGGGGTGGCAATACATTCAGGGCACCGGCACCACCGCTGAAAAGGTATAAGGGCTCAGTAGGGAAAGGGCCCAAATCAGGGGGTGTGGGACCACCAAGGTGCGCAAACTGCGGTAAGAACCACGGGGGAAGGTGCAATGAACCACCCCGGTGCTTCAAATGCGGTAGCACGAGCCACCTTAAACCCTCTTGTCCAATGCTGAACGGAGCAGGACCATCGGGAGCTATGGGAGGACCTACGACTAGTAGGGGACGTGTGGGGCCGTCTCAGGGCGGCCCAGGAAGGGGCGGACCCACGGCTAGCAACGCCGCGTCCGTTAACCAAGGGAGGACCCAGGCACGGGTATATGCTATGACCGAGGCTGATGCTCGGGCCAACCCGGACTCCATTGCAGGTAATCTCTTGATTACACACGCATTTTGTTCATGCATTTGAACTAAAAATCTTCAAAAAATTATGAAGGACCCGATCGGGTATCCCTGTAGACTCGGCCGGGTATAGGCCATGCTTCGATTTTGAAGTATGTACTCGTTCGGGCAAGCGTGGCAGGATCTTTCACTTTTGACACTTCGAGCAATACCCGATCGGGTATGGCTATATACTCGATCGGGTATGTGTAAAACTTTGGCTTTAGAGTGTGTACTCGATCGAGTGTTGGGCACAGGAAGCGGTTTGTTGAAAATTTCGAGTGATACCCGACCGGGTATAGGAATATACCCGATCGGGTATTGACATTTTGTTCGAATTCGAGGCATGTACTCGACCGGGCAGAGATAACAGGAAGTCCCTTCAGTAGGGATTCGAGTAATACCCGACCGGGTATAGGGCCTTACCCGACCGGGTATAGGGTATCCCTAGGCTGAAAATTTTGCGTTCGGTCCTTTTCAGTCGGGATGTTGAGTAGTGTGTCTTACATGACTTATGTATGTAGGGACACTAAAGATCAATGATAGGGACGCGAGAATTCTCATCGATACCGGAGCACAACGTTCATTTGTGAGCGAAGCGTTTGCCAAAGGTTTGGGCATGCCTTTGGTAGCAATGATGCAACCTTTGTTGGTCTCTACGCCATTAGGATATGATGTAGAGCGGAAACACTAGTATCCCTCGTGTAATGTAGGGATAGGGGAGCACTGTCTAACGGGTGACTTTGTGCCGTTAGGTATGCTCGAGTTTGATGCTATACTGGGCATGGATTGGCTCGAGGAACACCATGCGAAAGTAGATTGCTACACCAAGGTGTTAGAACTAAAAGATGGAGAAGGAAATACTCTATGCTTCGAGGGAGATAGAGGGAAATTCAATCCTTGTATCATATCGGCCATAAGAGCAAGACGTATGATGAGGAAAGGGTGTCAAGCGTACTTGGCCTATGTCATAGGCAAGGAAGGCAAGGGAAAGAGTCTCACTGAGGTGAGAGTGGTGAGTGAGTACCCAGAAGATTTCCCTGAAGAACTCCCGGGACTCCCACCAGATCGTGAAATTGAGTTCACCATTGAAGTAGAACCCGGTACAAAACCCATCTCGATTCCTCCATATCGGATGGCACCGGCTGAACTTCAAGAGTTGAAGGTTCAATTAGAAGAATTACTGGATAGCGGATTCATTAGGCCGAGTCATTCACCGTGGGGAGCACCGGTACTCTTTGTAAAGAAGAAAGATGGTACACTCAGAATGTGTATCGATTACCGTCAGTTGAACAAGGTCACGGTAAAGAACAAATACCCTTTGCCAAGGATCGATGACTTGTTTGATGAACTACGGGGGGCAACCATGTTCTCTAAGATCGACTTGAGGTCAGGCTACCATCAACTGAAGATCAAGGAGAGTGACATACCCAAAAGTGCATTTCGTACACGGTATGGTCACTATGAGTTCCTAGTAATGTCGTTTGGGCTTTCGAACGCACCCGCGACATTCATGGACCTCATGAACCGAGTATTCCATCAATACTTGGACCAATTCGTCATAGTGTTGATTGATGACATTTTGATATACTCCATGAATGAATAGGAGCACGAAAAACATCTAAGGCTTGTGCTTGAAACACTGCGGGAGAAGCAACTCTTTGCCAAATTCTCTAAATGTGAATTTTGGCTTTGGGAGATCGGTTTCCTCGGGCATGTGGTATCGGGCTCGGGCATTTCGGTTGATAACTCAAAGATTGAAGCGGTCACTAATTGGGAGAGGCCCAAGAATGTGAAGGAGATAAGGAGTTTCCTCGGTTTAGCAGGGTATTACCGCAAATTTGTGGAGAAGTTCTCGGTGATAGCATCTCCACTCACGAAGCTCACTAAAAAGGGGGCTAAGTTTGTGTTGGATGACAAATGTGAGAAGGGGTTTCTTGAGTTAAAGAAATGTTTGACTGAAGCACCAGTGCTTGCCTTGCCCGTGCAAGGGTTAGGGTATGACATCTACAGCGATGCTAGCATTCAGGGACTGGGATGTGTACTGATGCAATCGGGGAAGGTAATTGCTTATGCTTCTCGGCGGTTGAGAAAGCATGAAGTAAACTACCCCACACATGATCTGGAGCTAGGTTCTGTGGTGTTTGCATTG